AGATTATGGATGACTGAGATTAATTATCACTTTCCCATGCATTTTCTTGGGAATACGCATTTCAGTCATTAGTACATGCTTTTTATTTTTTTTCCTTATTTTCTGCATTGAAATACCGATTTATGTACTATAAAACCAAGAGATTCAGCCATTGAAGAGAGAAAAAATGGAAAATCTGGTTTCATTTTAATTTAGCCATTGAAGAGAGAGAAATGAAGGCAGATTTCAAATGAATATTTCTCTCTCATAAAGAAAGCTTTTGAAGCGATTTTTTTTTTAATTTGATTTTTTTTTGTGTAGAATAAGCATACAAAATTTCATAATTTTTGGAGTTCGTTTGATATTTTTTTGGGTAGAATTTTCGAAGTAGTGCAAAAAAGGAGCAAATCTGAAAAGACGGATTTCAAATGAAGATTTCTCTCTCATAAAAAACCCTTTTGAAGCGATTCGTTTTTTGAATCTACTTATTTTTTTGTGTAGAATAAGCATACAAAATTTCAGAATTTTTGGAGTTCGTTTGATATTTTTTTGGTAGAATTTTCGAAGTAGTGCAAAAAAAGAGCAATTCTGTATGTGGTACAATAGTTGAAAATTTTGGAACGACATATTTAAAATTCGAAAACTAGGGGCATATCATGTAATTGGAACACTAGTTCTTATATATGGAACAATATATAATATTTATAGGACAATAATTCATATTTCTGGAACAATATAAATTGTATTGACAATAACGGGCATATCATCCAATTGGAACATTATTAATTACTTATTTTATTGTATTAAAGGAATAATTTTGAGATGTTTCAAAAGATGTTATTATTGTTTCAAAAAGACTTGTCGCTGTTTCAATTAAAAAAATGTAATGTTACATTGAATTGTGTTGTCAACGTTAAGTTAAAATGTAGTTGAAGTGTACGTTAATGATGTTTCATAAAATATATTAAGTGTTTCAATTTATAATATTAATGTTTCATATATATTATTGCTTGTTTCATATAGTTGGGCTATATATGAACTAGGTTTACTGTGATTTCTTATACCTTATTGATGTTTAAAAAAACATACTTTATGTTTCATTTTATACTACTTATGTTCCATAAAATATATGCATATACTATATCTTGGTTGGGAAAAACTGCTCTTGCCCTACTTGTGTTTAGTGATCATAGGATTAAAGAAGAATTCAAAGATGAGATGTACTGGGTTTGTGTGTCTTTAAATTTTGACACGAAAGATATCCTAGGTAAGATGCTTGGGATGAATGAGCTAGGATTTGAGGACCTGCACAAAAAGTTCGAAATAAAATAGCAGTAAAAGATTTTTGTATGTTTTAGATGATGTATGGTATGAGAACGGTAGAAAATGGGATGAGTTGAAGAACTTCTTGATTTTAGGTGGGATGGGAAGTAGGATCTTGGTGACTAATCGCTCCAAAAAAGTGGCAGAAGCTATTGGAAAATGTCAAATACATTATTTAAAAGGTCTGTCACACGAGAATTCTTGGGAATTGTTTAAGGAAATATCACTTAAAGATAGGGAAGACGAAGGTGTCACTAGCGTTGTTGAGATTGGCAAAGATATTGTGAAAAAATGTGTCAATGTGCCTCTCTCCATAAGGGTAGTGGCCAGTTTGTTGCGTAACCAAGATATAGCAACTTGGCAGTCATTTAAATGTACTGATTTGACTAACATGTGTGGTGGTGAGGATGGCATAATGCCAACACTGATGTTTAGCTATTATCACCTTTCTCCTGAGTTAAAAACTTGTTTTAGCTTTTGCTCACTCTTCCCTGAGGACTTTGTCATTAATAAAACACAATTGATTCGTCTCTGGATGGCACAAGGATATCTCGTTCCAAGTGCTACAAATGAGAGCATGGAAGATGTCGGTGAAAAATATATATCAATAATGTTATTGCATAGATGTTTTTTCCAAGACATGAGATGGGATGTTTTGAGTAAAACTTTTGCATTTAAAATGCATGATCTCATCCATGAGCTTGCTAGAAAAGTAGCAGCAAAAGATTCTTTGACATTAACAGCTTGTAAAACTGATTCAGAAGGGAAAATTCGTCATCTATTGGCTAATAGTTATGAAGGTATGTCCATCACCTTATTTCGTTCAAATAATTTTCCAATGAAAACATTACGTAGGTATTTGAAGTGTTCTACATTCATGACTTGTCATGAGGATGCAATTATTTTTAATTATTGTCGTTTAAGGGTATTGGATTTACGGAATTCTTTGCCAATTAGAAACTTAACAGATAAACTAGGTAAATTATTACACTTGAGGTACCTTGATCTCTCATATAATAATAAATTGGAGATGCTCCCCAAGTCGATCACCAAGCTTCACAATCTACAAACTTTATTATTGCGTAATTGCAAAGGACTAAAGGAGCTGCCAGAGGACACAAGCAAACTAGTAAATCTTAGGGTGTTGGACTTAGATGAATGTAAGAACTTGAGTCATATGCCAGCAGGGATGAGTACATTAACATGTCTACAATTTATAATTTATATAGGGATGAGTTATATGCCACTGTGAGAAACAAAAACGTTTCTCACAGTGAGTAGTAGAGATTTACTGTATGACTCTCTGTAAGGATTTCATAGTATCTGCCAAACCTGTGTTAATCGCAACACCAACATCTGCTCTGTATCGTCTTCAACAAGGCAATCGACTTCTTGAGCAGTTACAGTTTTAAGTCAGTCCTTCAGTTCTAATATAATAAAAATTATGGATATTTTTGCTTCTCTCTCATGTACACTAGCATACTTATCTCAAGCAGTGTTTTCTTTCTTATGCCCTTGCGAACTTTACGAGCAAGGAAAAAAAATAGCAAAATCTTGTTAGCTTAACTTGTCTGTCAGATAAGTTCTATGATGTTGCTCTATTTTTTTTTTCCCTTCAATGAGTTAGGCGAGGGAAGATCTTCCTATCTGACTGATTAGATATTCTGATGTCTATAGGTTATTAAATACATAGTTTATCATCAATCAAATTTGAATGAGTTTAAGATTAATCCTTGGAGTTTAATTAACCTAGGGATATGAAAATATTACATGGGCCATTTGTATATGCCCAAGTATTACATTTCCATTTGCTTTCTTATAATCATTCTAATTGTTTTATGGTTCTGCAGAAACTCTGTTGGTAATGGTCATTTGGCATCGTATTTTGAGCAACATTATGAAGCCGAGGTGATATTGAGCTGCAAAGTGATGACAAACTTTGGCATGAAGCTCTAGCTTTCTTGTAAGCTGCTTTATTAAAATTGTCACTGCAACTATTTCTACTTTGAAGGACTTTGTCATTGCAACCAAAGATTAAATTATAATATATGCATTGCCATTTCTTGCAGCTCTCAAATAGGAGATATGATTAGATGATCATAAATGGATTGCATTTGAAGAAAAAACGTTGGTCTTATGTTGGTTTGCAATCCGAGTTACTAGAACTACATAGTGCTTCCTTTCCAATGCCTTGTAATGAACGAACTGACTTGAAAATATCTGTCCTGTATTTCAAATAAATGCCCTTGCTATTTGGTGTTGAATCAGACAAGGGGCTGTTAACACACTTGACTGATTGTCTGCTTTGGCATTGGTTTAAGTTTATATTGGAATTGTGAGTGCCCAAATTTGTGTGAAGGTATTCCCTACACATTTATCAACAATCAATAGCCCAATTATTTAAGGCCTTTCTATTTTAAATGACCTTATATCTGAAATTATTTTAATTTATTTGAGCTTATATTATTTTATTATATCTGAAATTATTTTATTTTGTCTAAACTTATTTCATTTGAATTTCCTGAAATTTTGTTGATTTTATTTTATTTATCTCAAAAAAAAATTCTGAACTTATTTTTTTCAAAATTAAAATAAGATGAAACAATACAAAACATTCTGTTACAAAGTCTAAGAGACTATTAAGTAGTAATTTTAAGTTTTGTAATCCTTTGCAGAAACATCGACCTTTACTATAGTTTATTGACACGGCAGAGGTTTCATATGTAATATGCAGTGAAGCTTTTACAATGGAAGGAAATATGGCACTTAACTTGCTGCAGGTTGTTAGTGTAATAAGATTATTCCAAAGAGATGCAAACTGCAGGTAACTAAATGTGTTTTTGCTTACATGTAGGCTTCAGATATATATTTTGTACTAAATAACTTTCTAATTTTTGCAGTGTTTCAAAATCTGCCCAGAGATGCTCTTATATGCTAAAAAGTCAAAACCCTTGGGCTTATGTAAGTCCAATGAACATGTACGGTCACTTAAATTTAGTTTTCATTAGGTTTTTTTACGATAACTCTGATTTTGTGGCTAATTCTGCTATATTCATCTCTGTATCACAGGGTATAAATCTTGAAAATGCTGGTTTGTTGTGGATGTGATGACTGGTGGTATTTAAAATGAGGGAGCCCCAAGTGTTTCTTATAATGGCATTTTGGAAAATAATGTGATATTTTTCACTGGTGGAAACCGCGTATGTGTTATGAGTGGGAGCCCAAGATCTTGACACATACCCCATGAGAAACAAAACTTGTTTCTCACAATGAGAAAAAGAGAATTACCTATTTAAAATTTCACACTAGTGGAAAACATATAGGTTAAAGAAGCACCGTTTGTTTTTCCTCCATCTAATATTCACGTAACAATTTAACTTGTACGCATTAGAGATATGGCTAATTACTTTACATGCCTTTGAATATGGGTGTTGTTAAACGTCGTTCGCAATTTACTAGGTGACGTTCACATTTTATACTTGAATTTCCTAAATTGCCCTCCGTATATAAATACTCGATAAACTAAGTTAGGACACTTACGAGACATTTCCCATCTCACAAAATCACTCTTTCACACTTTCTCTCTCTAAAACCTTCCAAAAAATCTGAAAATTTGAAAAAAAAATCAGAAATTTTTTTTAATCGTTGAAGGTTACTCAAACTCAAGCAAATCTAGCAATCAAACGTTGAATCCGACAATGGCAGACCGACGAAGAATTAGGTTGACGTTTGGTGGTCATGGTGGCGGCGGTAACGGCGGCGAACCGGTGAGTTTTTTAAGTTTTTGAATTTTGAAAAAAAAAATCTGGGAAACCTGACTTCCGCCCAGAAATTCCGGAAGTGAAGAGGAACTTCCGGAAATTTCAGGCGAAAGTGGTGGTTTTCGCCTGGAATTTCCGAAAGTTCTCAGGTACTTCCGGAACTAGGTGGAAGTTGTGGGTTTCCAATTTTTTTTTTTCTTTTTTCCCTCGGTTTGGTGATTTGTTGCATGTTTTTTTTTTTAATTTTTATTTTAAAAATATTTCTTTCCTTGATTTGTGGCATTAAAATAATTTTTTTCTTGATTTAGTCTTGCAATAATTATTGTTATGTATTTTTTGTTGATTTAGTTTTGCAATAATTATTATTTTGCAATATTTCTTTCCATGAGTTATAGTTTTGCAATAATTCTTGATTAACATTTTAATAAGTTTGTTATTGTTATGTAAAATTTTTGTGAAACGCTAAACATCGCCCACAAATTACCACATAAAGCCCACAAATATGTTATGATTTGACCATTATGCCCTTTTGCTAAAATTGAGATAATCTCGGTGTAAAAAATGTGGAGCCGTATTGGCTCGTCGGGGGAGACCGGATGGCAGGCCGGAGATGCGGGGGACGCCGGAGGTACGTCGTCGTCGACGGAAAACGAGGTAAGTGACCGCTAAAATTCACGGTTTACCGTCGTAGTGGCTACGGCGCCTAGGATGGACGCCCAAACCATAGCCTGGACGTCCAAGCCGGACGCCAGAACCACCAGAGTGGCGTCCAGGCTAGACGCCCAGACCACCTGAGTGGCGTCAGCCCAGACGCCCAGACCACTAGACTGGCGTCCTGGGCAGACGCCACTCCACTGGGTGAGGCGGCCCTGCCAGGCGCCAGTCCAGTGGGTGTGGCAGCCCTGGCAGACGCCACCTTTAATAATTAATTTTTATTTTTTCCTTTTTGATTTTGTTGTTGTTTTTTATTTAATTTTTTTGTGAAAATAAAAAATCGAAAATGATTTTTTAAAAAAATTCGAAATGGGTTTTTTGTAAATTAAATTTGAAAATTCGAAATAGGTTTTTTTAAAATTAAATTTGAAAATTCGAAATGGTATATTTTTAAATTTTGTTTGAAAATTCGAATTGGGTTTTTATAAAAATTAAGTTTGATTATATATAATTATGTTTTTTTTTGTGTTAATTATGTGGAAATATAGAAATTAAATGTATTATCCGTTAAATGTATTTATTGTAATATATAATTGATGCAGGAATATGGTGGAGACGGAAATGATTACAGTGAGATATTTGGACATGATGGTCCATTCGAAGAAGCTCAACAGGCGATTGATTGGGCAAAACAGGTTGCAATTGCAGCTGGATTTTGCTTGGTAGTAGCAACTCATAAATCTCAACGGGATGGTAGAATGGATCGCATTTTGAGACGTGACCGTTATCGCAAAAGAGAAGAAAGAGATTTTCGTACAGCCACTCGGTTTGACACAAAGCGGAAAGGTTGTGGGTGTGAGTTCAGAGTAAAGGTTCGACAACTACGAAGTCGTGACGGTTGGGAAGTGATAGGTTACTCTAAATGGGGGTATCACAACCATGAGATGATAGTATATGAAGAGGGTCATCGACAACTGAGCGGCTTAAGTCCTGCTGCGAAACTAGTTGTGAAAGAAATGAGTGATGCTCAAGTGAAGCCTGCTAAAATATTAGCATCTGTGTTAGAAAAATTTCCAGAAGACCATCCAAACCGAAGACACATCTACAACGTCAGACAGCAACTCAGGTTTGAACGGTCAGAGGGAAGGAACCCTATACAGCAGCTGCTACACCAGGCACAATCACGTGGTTACCTGTTCTGGTTTGATTCTGATGAAGATACAGCGGAGGTGACTCATCTTTTCCTTGTGCATCCTGATTGTGCTGATATGATCAAGTCTTGGCCATTTGTGATTTTGATCGACTCAACGTACAAGACAAACAAGTACAAGTTCCCTCTGGTTGAGATGGTTGGGATGGCTCCAACGAACCAGAACTTTCTGATTGGTCATGCAATCATCAGGGATGAGACGACTCCAAGTTATTATTGGGTTTTGGAGAAGCTGAGAAACTACATCGGGCCTAATGTTCATCCAGCAGCCATCGTCAGCGACTGTGAGGGAGGTCTCTTTGCCCCCATAGCAGAGCTGTTTCCCGAATCGAACCACTTATTGTGCACATGGCACATCAACAACTGCGTGAAAGTGAAAGCCTACAACCTTTTCAGGAAGAATTTGGAAATGGCAGAGAGATTGGTGAATGGTAAGTGGCGGAAGATCCTACAGGCTACCACAGAGGAAGCGTATGAGCGAGCATTGGCTAACTTCAGGGATTCGTACCAGTGGTGTCCGGCACTGGTGGACTATGTGATGCATCAATGGGTCCCTCATAGGGAAAAGTTTGTCAAATATTGGACAAACCAGGTACTTCATTTTGGGAACACTACAACATGTAGAGTTGAGAGTGCTCATAGAGCTACCAAGGACTGGATTGATTCATCGACCGCTGCTTTGGATACACTGTTCGCTAGACTGAACAAGTCAATTGAAACTCAGAAGAACGACATCAGGAACTCTCTAGAGGACTCCAGACGACGACATGGTACGATGTATAGCCATTTTATATTTAAGATTCTCCATGGTCGTGTGTCGCACTACTGCTTGGGGTTGATTCTCACTGAGCTGAACAGGGTGAGGGACTTGGCTGACGAAGTGTATACTCGGTGTGGGTGTACTATTTCAGTAACTCATGGATTACCTTGCGCATGCACCATTCATCGCGTTATTACAGAAGAAAGGGTACCTGCGATCATCATGTCGTACGTGGAAGGGTGGAATGATGTAATCGGAGATGGTAACTGCGGATTCCGGGTCGTGGCTGATGTTTTTCAAATGGGCGAAGACAACTACGGTTTGGTGCGTGAGTTGATGTACAGCGAAATTGCCTCTAACCGAAATGTTTATCGTCATGTGTACGAGGATGACTTGGATGGCGCTCTCCGACGTATCCGGTGGGGAGGTGGACCTTGCGGCGAAAATCATTATTTTGACGCGCCCCTAGATCTGTTTGCCGTTGCAAACATTTACAAATGCGCAGTCATGCATTTCGGCCTGGGAGTGCATAGTCAAGCTTATTATCCTTGTACCACGGTTCTCCCTTGGCGGTCGCGTGAGACTGTCACCACACCGGTCAGAGAGCTAGCTATTGCGTTTCTTGGGTCGTCATACAGACATTTCATCCGACTAGACATGTCAACCGATTTTCCGGTGCCACCGATTATACCTCGGTGGTACAACATTCGCACAGCGAGCGTAGAGGGTTGGGATGCGCTATATAATGACCGGATCCACGAATGGAACACCCTAGCTGCATTTTAGTTTTTCTTGTTTACATTCTTTATTTGTAATCTTATTTGTACGTTGCTCTTTTAATGAGAACATTAATATTTTATATTGTATTGCTTACTGCATTCTATATGTTGCATGGGTAAGTTGCGCGGATCCACGAACGGTTATATCAAAATTTAAAAACAGCACTGATAATATGTTTAAGTTGGAAGCTAAAAGAACAATCTAAAATGTTACAATTTTACAACATAATGTCCAAAAGAACGATCCGTGGCAGTAGGCGGTGGCACATAATCATCATCGCTGTGGTCGAGATCAGCGATCAACCTCGGGTGCGAATACCGGTTGAACCATTCCATGTAGTAATGGTCACACATGGGAGTAACCCCAGAGGGCGGCCGCTGCAACTCCGCTGTCCATAATCGAGCCACCATCGGAAACTGGTCCCACGTCCCGGTCATGATATCCGGCCATTCCACGACGTACTCCCTCGACGATGCAGGTCGGACCGCCTTCATCGGGCACGCCGGGGGAGGAGGGACAACTTGGACAAATCCAAGTTGGCGAAGACAACGCTGGGGCATGTACGCTTCGACGATGTCACAAATCTGCCTGATCCGCATCAGCCACAGCACAAAGTCGTTTACCCTCAACACGAATCCCCAGAATGGCCTCGACGTCATGTAACATGATCGTCATCTCACCGAACGGAAGGTGAAAAGAGTTTGTATCCGGCTGCCATCGCTCAATGAAAGCCGTGATCAGCGTACTGTCAATCTTATCGTGCATGGTGGCAGGAACGTGCTTCACCCCAGTGCCCTCCAGTCGCTCGAACATCTCGCTCTCCGCCGGCCAGGCCTCAGCCCATGTACGCAAAAAACTACAAGTCTTTTCCCGGGTATGACATTTCAACAACCCCGTAACTGAAGGCCTCTCCTGGTCCTCCCAAATACGGGCAGCTATGTGTCCTAGAAAGCTAGGAATCACACTCCCGTCAACAGGCCCACCGGGCACCTCACTCCTAACAACCCAAGAATCATTACCCGCCCTCGACCGTTTCCTGCTTGCCCCAGAGACAGTGGACGCAGATGATGTGCCAGATCTACTAACAAATCTACCACCCCTACCCTTACGCACCTCCACCATATGCGTCTCGTACATGTCATCAACCCTCTGACTGAATGGACCGTAATCATCATACGGTCCACTGCCATCGTCCACATCCTCATCCTCATCTGCGCCCTCCTCCTGCTCCTCCTCCTGGTCACCCTCCTCAGCATCATCATCGTCATCGTCATCCTCATCCCGACGGTGGATCCGTTCTCTACGAACTGAGGCCGAAATACCACGGGATCTGACATGTCTATGCCCCGACCTCTCCACTGAATAACTTCTACTAAGAAGCTCTATATTCTTCCCCCCACCATGACGACCCTACACAAAATTTTAAAATATATAAACATACAAAAATTTATACGATAAATAATCATCATCGCAAATCAAATACACTAAAAACAAACAAATAGTAGTAAACAAAATATAAACGTAGAAAAAATACAACGAAATTGAAAAAATTTATAAAAATAAACAACAAAATATAAAAACAATTCAAAATTATATTACAAAAAAAAAAAAAAAAAAATTTAAAAACAATTTTTTAGAAAAATTTAAAAAAAAAAAAAAAAAAAGGGGGGGGCGCCCTGGCTGGACGCCCAGCCGGCGGTGGTGGCGCCAGATGCAGACGCCGCCACCAGTTGGCTGGCGTCTGGGCTGGACGCCACCGCCACGGTTGTGGCGTTTAGTCTAAGCGTCGCAACCGTGGCGGTGGCGTCCAGCCCAGGCGCCAGCCAACTGGTGGCGGCGTCTGCATCTGGCGCCACCACCGCCGGCTGGGCGTCCAGCCAGGGCGCCCCACCGCGTTCACGACGGTTTTCCCCCCTTTTTTTTTTTTTTTTAAACAAAATATACCTTTCCACGTTGGGACATCCTTCCCTCCGCCGCCGCCGCCACTTCCTTGCCTTGCCGCCTCGACATTGCCGTTATTTTGAATTTTTTTTTTAGAGAGGTTGAAAGAAGATGAGCAATGAGAGTGTGAGTGATGAGAGTGTGAGTGATGAGAGTGTGAGTGTTTTTTTTTTTTAAGGTCAAGGGCAATTTAGGGAAACCAAGTGAATTTTGTGGGCTTTATGTAGTAATTTGTGGGCGATATTTAACAAATCCCAAATTTTTTTGGTTTGTATTGGTATTTGTTGTTGTTGTTATGTATTATGGTTGGTGACTTAAATTGTTGTTATTGTTATTGTAATTGTTTTTTTTGGTTTGTCGTTGTTGCGTTTTAATTTTGGCAATTTTGTGGTTAATTATAGTTTTGATTTGGTCTATTATTGTGTTGAAATTATTTGTAGTGTGTTATTAGTGTGTTGTTATTGTTAGTAGTATATTAGTATTGTAAGAATAATATTATTGTTATTGTTAGTAATGTTGTTATTATTGTTTATTTGATTTGATTTATTATAGTTTTGATTTGATTTTTTTGAATATGAATTATTATTGAAATTTGATTCTGTACTTATTTATTTAATGCAGATTGAGGGTTCTGGTCCTCGTCATGCAAGATCAAGACGTTTGAATGCGTCTGTTAGGAGGGAGTTAGGTGGTGCAGGACCTTCACAAGCACTGTTTCACCATGAGCAGCAGTATGAGACTGCTGGTACTTGGTCGGGAGAGCATCAGTCACATGGGAGCGCCCCCATGTATTCGTCTACTGGAGTGCCTTCATCTGACGATGAGGATGAAGAGCAAGGAAGTCAAGCTGCTAGAGATGCACAATATGACCCTCAGGATTACCGTACTGTGTATAGGGGTGGCCATGGGAGATATGTTAGTAGTAGTGAACCAGCTCAAGCTTCTACCAGCTCGTCAGAGTCATGGGTGGTGCAGGAGCCGATGCCAGGTGGGCCTGAGGATGGTACTGTTATTCCTAGTTTTGGGGGTCACGTGGCTGCCTACATATGGGTTGGGCAGGAGCAAAATGTTCAGTGGTGTTTGAGCAGGACACAATTGTGTTCAGAATTGGGTAATTGGAGTGGTCGTCTTGCGCAGGAGCACCTGGAACTGATTGATGGCAGTGGTCTATCTCACTTACCCGAGATCATGTTCAGGCGATTTGACTGGCCCTTGATTTCTGTTTTTGTTGAGAGATGGCAGCCAGACACGAACACGTTTCACATGCCATTTGGGGAGATCACGATCATGCTGCATGATGTGTATCATATTCTAGGGCTTCGTGTTGATGGTTCCATGGTTTCCACTACTCCTAGCAAGGACGTTTTACGGGACGCGTGCTCGATTACCTTGGATATGACTGCGGAAGAGCTGAATGAGAAGTGCAGTACTAAGACCGTATGGCAGGGTAGTGGGGTGCTGACTGAGAGGATAATGGAGTCGACCTTGGAGGCGCAGAGTCCCTTCAGTTTCCATTACAGGGCGTACCTGTGGTTAGTACTTGGCAGATGTTTGTTTTTGCACAAGAGTGGAAACCGTACTCATCCTTCCTTCCTCAACGAGCTTTTTGTTGAGGATGTTCAGATTAGTGACTACTCCTGGGGTTTTGCTGTGCTAGCATACATGTACCGGCAATTGGGTACAGCATCACGAAAAGATGCTGATTCTATCGCCGGCTGTCTTACGCTTCTGCAAGCGTGGATCTACGAGTACTTTCCGTGTTTTTGGCCTCAGCAGGGGACCTTGATCAGAGAGCTTACTGTTCTTCGTGCGTCCGCCTGAGATGTCGGATCGGGGAGCCCCAACAAGAGCATGGAGTGTCTCCTCGCTTTTTGTGCTAGGTTGGATCATCTGATTGACAATGAAGTTAACTGGCTACCGTACGGAGTTGATCCATCACAACGCGTGCCTGCTACTCTTTTCATTGGTTGCATCCAGTATCGTAGCATCATTGAGCCATATATGCCTGATCGAGTGGTTCGACAACTTGGATACGTCCAGGGCATTCCACAAGCCATCATCAGGCTTGAGAAGGCAAAGAGACCGACAAACTTGAAGATGTATCGAGTTGACTTTCCGCCAGAGATGACATCTGTGATGTGGACTCGGTTCTAGTGTGTCTTTCAGTGTCGTGATAGGTGCCCTCAGCAGACTTGGTGGTGGTGCTCCTACGGTCGGTCCTGGTTACATGCAGTGGTTGTACGATTTTCTCATCCTCGTGTTTCTCCAGTTGCGTCATCACATGATAGTCGCGCACTGCTAGATAGAACTAACACGGATTATGTAAGTACTTGTGTTTTTTGGTACTATAATTATGATTAAAAAAACTTGTGATTTATTTAATATGTTATTTTTTTAATTGCAGTGGATGGGTCGGTCCATGGAGGTCATCAATAGGACACTGGAGGAGTATCCGAGCTTGTCGCGTGATACAAGAGCAATGGCTGAGGCGCTGCGAGCTGATTGGAGGGCGATGATGGGGTTGTGAACTTGCTGTTTTTTTTTTTTTACTTGTACGCTTTTCGTTGATATACTATTTAATCGTCATGTACTTTAAGGATTAAACAATTGTTTTTGTGGTTATGTTGAAACTCTGTTTAATTATGTTAATTTCGTTACAAACTACATAACTACAACTGTTTAACACAAATGAAAGTACAAAAATATGCTCATTATCTAATTAAGGCATCCCACATGTTCCTTCTAGCTGCGTACCGCTGATCCCAACCGTCAACACTTGGGTCGTGGTTCTCGGTCCACCAACCTGCAATCGGGGGAAGTGGCGAATCTGGTGCAAGTTCAATACAAATAAAATGTGAGCCCCCAACTGTAGCGATGACAAACTCTCGCTCCGGTGCCGTGACCCCCCTTCTTGCCCTCAACGACAATATCGTGAGGCATGGGTAGTAGCAGGTTGGTGTTTGGCCTACACCAAAAATAATAACCATTGCGTTGAACCAAGTCGCAATAGGAAATAAATCTTGAATTGCAGCCATCCAATGACGGGAATCAACCGCCCCACCGTCCCATCGAATACGCTCCACGTTGATCTCAAGTCTTCCAAGCACATAAATCCTCTCATATAGGGCTCGATAACCGAGGACCTCATTCGCTATTGTTTCTCGAGCGTCATACCATTGCCCTTGGTCACCGAAGAAGAACTCGGCCACACAACGAAACCCATAGTTACCATCGCCAATGACATCCTTCCATCCTGTGATGTAAGGCAACATCGGCCCTGGAAGCGAGTGTCGATAATGGCTTTGGCTTATGTCATTTACATCTCCTGCACAAATAATAATAATAGTAACAATAATAATAATTATTATAATTATAATAATAATAATAATTGTAATAATAATAATAATAATAATAACAATAACAATAATATTACTAATAATACAAATAATAATAACAACAATTACCACATAATAATAATAATAATAATAATAATAATAAATGCTGACTTATGTGAAAAACACAACTCTTAATCGTACCTGTTTGTCGTGCACCACGTTCAGTGTATCATTGTTTACATGTTCAAAATAAGAACGATCACGTCTTGTATCATTGTTTCTTCGTCGACCACGAACCCGGTGGTTTACAACAGGCTCTCTGAGGTCAGAATGATCCGGATGCAGCTCCTCTTCAATGATGCGAGACACATTTCGAAGAACAACAGGATCACTACCGATTACCTCATCCATCAGAGAACGAAAATGTGCGGCGTCCTCAGTCGAATCATTGCCAAGAACCGTCCCATCATCACCATCACCAATAACCAAGGTCCTCCAGAACGGGTGAATTTGCTTAATGTACAATCCTGTCCCAGCAACTAGCGAATCATGTATCTGGCCAGCATAGGGCAAACTGTGGGTCCACGCATTGCACATCCACATCGTTCGTGCACTTGATAACTCAGGTCCCTCATCCTCCTTGTCTCCTCATCGAGAACCTTCAAACAATGCTGAGTCACCTTCCCGTTTATACGTGACAGTGGCAACTGTCGGTACTTTTGACCTATCTTTGACCTAGAAGCCTCCAAACCATTCGAATTGCGATGATCTGATTACCAATGTGGCAATGAACTCGAGCCCATACGGTATCCAAAGAACCTGCACATTACAAAGAAAAACCGTTATAATTTATAACTCAAATACCTACAACAAAGTACATACATGAACTACAATAAGCAAACACCAAACCTGTCGAGAAATCAAACCACAACTTCACGGCCGAATGTTGGCTCTCAACTCTGCAAGTGCTGGTGTTGCCATAATGTAGAACTTGGTTTGTCCAAAATGTCACAAACTTCGTTTTCTGACAAAGCCATGTGTTCTCTACATATTGTATCACTGCTGGATAACTTTGTTAGGTTTACAGTGAATTCAAACTAGAAAACACTTAATGAAACGTGTGGGTACAAAACCTAAATAATGTGATTACAATAACAAATTAAAGTAATACAAACAAACACAACCAATGTGTTACAATCAAGTATTAATATCACAAAGAAATTACAGAAATTTCTAATGACAACACTAATGTGAAGTTTAATTACACTTGCCTTAATTCCAAGCCAATCAACCGAACATGAACATGAGAATTGTAACGTCCCTTGAGACTATGATCTTGATACACTGTCAAAGGCGTATGAATACTTTCCTAAAGGGATTAATTTCCCCCACACGGTGCTTGGGTTGATCCGGAAATTCCCTTTGAGATACAATTGACAGCACTTTCCGTTCTTAGCACAAAGAATCAAAAACCGATGGATGATTCACAAAGAAGGCTAAAATCAAGAAGTTTTTCTCAAAATAGTTTGCAAGAAAATTTAGAGAAAAATTGGAGAATTCTTAGGGAGAAGATCAGAGAATAATATTCTGTATGTCCTTTCGAAAAGAAACTCCTCTCTCTAAAATAGAATCAGCCGTCGTATAAAACCGCAAAACGGCAAGAAGCGCGGGCGCGAGCAAAGAGGCGTGGGCGCGCCACCATGGGGCGCAGGCGCGCCTCCTTCTTTGCCTAAAATCTTCGAATTTCCAGAAAGTTAGCGCGATTTTAACGCGGTTTAGGCGCGCCATGCCATGACGCGGGCGCGCCTCCAAACTTTTTCAGAATTTCCATAAACTCATCGCGGTTTTGTCGCGGGTCGCGCCTAGCTGGCGCGTGCGCGATTCAGAAGAGCGAGCGCTCCTCCGACACTCTAAATTATCAACAAACTTGCCCACTTATCTTTCATTATATCTACAGCAGCCTCATAATCATCCTCGGTTGCAGTGTCCATGATACGTTTCCATTTTCCGTTTTTGAAAGACGCACCGATCTTCTTGTTTTTTAACATAACAGTGACCCGAGCCTCCACATCTTTGTTAATGTGCCATCGACAAAGTAAGTGCGAGGTCCCTGGAAACACTTCCCTCAATGCAGCACATAGCCCAAGCTCACGATCTGTCAAGAACACCGACGGCTCCTTATCATACCCAATCACGTCTCTCAACCTCTGCAAAACCCATCGATAGCTTGTTGTGCACTCGTTGCGCATGAACACGTAACCGACGAGAAAATTCTGATTTGTCGGTGTCACACTAACTATCTCAAAGAACGAAATCCCGTATCGGTTAGTCTTGTAAGTGGAATCCATACCGATCACATATGGGTACGTCCGTAGGATGTCTACCATGTAGGATGTCTACCATGACTGTGTGCGCCATAAAGGCGTGCTGTAAAACGCCTTCATCATCAGACATGACCCAGTAAAGATACTGACTCTGTCTCGCCAAATGTAGAAATTGTTGAACAACTCCTCTCCCATCAGACATCTCCGCTCTGAAGTCATTCCGGCAGTTGTAGATGTGTCTGATGTTTGGATGATCATCAGGAAATTGCTCCGCAATAGTCGCCATGATGTTACGCGGTGCAACCTTAGACTTCGTAATGTCACGCACAACCTGCTTTGCATTCAGGCTCAACCCACTAATTTTACGATGACCCTCTGGATACACAATCATTGGATTGTTGTGGGTCCCAGTTGCATCATTTTTCGCCCGGATAACCCAAGTATTGGTGATGAACTCGTAAAATATCTTGATGTAGAAAGGACAACCAATGCCCTTGGTTTTGGTGTCCTTCCGAATTGCGTTCTCAAGATCTCTCGGCTTACTCCTGCGTCCCCGATCACATCTTAAGTATCGATATGGACGACCATCCCTCTGTTTGTTGAAAGACGATTTCGCCAAAATAAATCCCAGATTTATTGCAACAGCCTCCGCCCATATAACTGCATCCTCAAACGTTAGAAAAACCTTGTCTGTCACAAAATGTGCACTGTAATTCACAACGTCACCGCCGTCTTCAACCTCCGAATCCTATATAATTACATCACTAACAAATAAAACACGCAAGGATTAGTATTTTAAATTTAACAAAAACAACAACAACAACAACAACAACAACAATAATAATAATAACAAATAATAGCTAATATAATAATAATAATAATAACAATAACTAACATTCACATAAAGTAATGCTAACAAAAAAAAGTAATAATAACAATAATACAATACAAAAAAACAATTACAAACAACAAAATTTACGCAACCCAATTCATGCGCATCAAAACAATAAAAATAATAAACATCCAACAACAACAAATAATCATACTAACAACAACAATAACATTAATAATAATAACAACAACAGTAATAATAGTAGTAATAATAAATGTTAATAATAATAATATTAATATTAATAATAATCATAATCATAACAAAAATTTA